GCGAAGAAGGCAAGCCTTGCACCTGATCCAATCATCTAAACCAGCTAAGCAAACCACATATATTGTACTCTAAAAGCGAAAGTAGAGGCGATAGAACCCCTCAAACATTGTAAAAACTTAATTGTGCGACTGTAAATAGGGGCACTGTCTCTATGCGCGGTCAAATTTATATGTTATTTCTTTTCGACAATAAATGATGGGACATAGGGGTGAAATAACTGAAAGGTTAGTACCACCCTATGTTCCAATAACATGAAAAAAAAAGACAATGATTATTAGTGTTACACTACTTCTTTTAAGAACATTTTTTTTTTTAAATACATGAAAAATAAATAAAAACATTTATGTAAAAGTAATATATTTTTCACTTCGCTCCGAATAAAAAAATTTAAGAGACGGTTTATTCATTTTCAACCATTATTTACCTGAGTTTTATTAATATATAAATAAATAAACAAATAATTTATATATAAAAATAAATAAATAAATGCCTGGAGTATTAATATAATCGTAAAGTACGGCCGGTTTCTAATTGAAAATTCATCATCAGGAATATACAAAGTCAATAAAATCTCGATTGAATATGAAAAAATAAAGGAAAGAATACGTTGAGAAAAATTGGTCATTTTACATCAGTATAATTTATTTTAATGGGTAATAAAGATTATTTAAAATAAATGTTATTAAAGATATTTTGGATATTATTATGTGTGCAGAAAAAAATTATTATTATTATTATTCAGACTATTATTGTTTGATAATTTTCTAAATTTATTGTTGGATCAAGAGTCGGCATCCGATCTATGATCCTGGTGAACATAGCGTAATTATTGCGTTATCGACGTTCTCGAACTATAGTTGACGCGTGTCAGTATATTAAATTAGGAAAAAGTAGGTTACTTTTCGAGTAAAAACATACCTTGGCTGTGACAAAAGTGTAACACTTGCGTTTATATGATTTTTATTCTGTAAGAATCCTAACACCTCTAAAGAACGGACGATGAATATTTTAGAAATATTAATTTCTTTAATACATATTATTGAACAAAGGTTTTGTGAAACGGACATTTGTATAATATTAGAGTATTGTCAAAAGTTAAAAGTCAAAAACGGTCATCCATTACACATATAATAATGCTCCAGACTACGCATTATTCAATTTATTCGTATATATATTCATTTATGAGTACTAACCGTTTACTAATTTTTGTTTTATTTCATTATAAAATATAATTATGCGAGTGTACGTCAACACAAATTCAAAAATTGGTTTTTAAAATATAAATTGGTCAATTATTATATCATTTATATTGCAGTTGGGCATAATTTTTTAATTTTTGAAAACTGAGCACATGATATTTTAGTAATATGTACTCCTGTGAATCTATGATATTTTCAGGGATCACAAATGCGGCCCCATGCTAACCCCCGCTTAAATCAAATGAATTAATTCAATTAATTAAATTGAACAATTACCCGATATAATTATACAGATATAATTTACTGCTTAACAAAACCTTTTTTTTCGCTCTATTTTTCATCATTAAACCTTTAGACAAAATTTTATTTTAATTTTGTAATATGTGCTTATCTCTAGTAAGCTACTTACATGGTAAACTATTATAGTATAATAATTATATTAATTTGTCGTTAGCAACATATTATCATTTATTTTATATAATAACAATACTCAATCGCTTAACATTTTACCAGCCGTAATGTCATAGATTTGATTTTTGATTTTTAAATTTTTTTTGAATAAATGATTAAATTTATTTAATTATTTAATTTAATTATTATTATTATTATTATTATTATTATTATTATTATTATTATTTTATTATTTAATTTGGTAAACGATTATTAATTTTTAAATTGTATCTGTACCTATTATAAAGAAGATAGATAAACATATTAGGAGCTAAACAAATATTTGAAGCGGGCTAAGCCCCCTAAATCCCCACCAAATTGTTCCTAAGTGTTATGTTCACACTTCAATAAAAACGTTCATAAAAGAAGATAAAAATGTTTTTTTCCATCCAGCCTGGCTTGTAAAACGTTTTTGATTTTTAAACGTAACCAAAAATACTTTGAAAACTACCAGCAACTGATGATGAGAACTAAACTAAAATAAATTCGGTCACTTAGATGAACTACCCGACCTTCGTATTTACAACCCAGGTGCAAGAACATTTTAGAGGCCCTTCATCATTCCTTAATCAGGTTAAATACACCTAAGGAATTTAGAAAATTATATAATAACAATACATTCAATTACCTCACAGTTCAGGTTTTATTGATAGTACAACGCTGCATTTGAAATCATGCAGAACCGGGTATATATATATAAGAAATTTGTAGAATCCAAGGACCCCAAAACAAATATTTTAAGGCCCATCAGGCGGTGCCTTTCACCTGCAGTAGTTGCGGCACTGTAGAGATGTGTCGTTCGTGAAAGAACTAGTTCAATTGAACTATTCACCCAAGTGACCGGTTTCGTACTAGTTCACTTTTGATGAACGACTCGTTCACCGTTCAATTTGTACTATGAACGATCTAGTACCTTAATCGTTCATGAACGATTCGTTGATACGGAGTAATAATTATTGAACTAGTTCGTTCATGAACAATTCTTTGATACGAAGTTAGTATTCATACGAACGATGAACTAGTTCAATTTAGTGAACGATGAACGACTGAACTAGTTCACCTTAATGAACGATAAGTCCCATCTTTACGGCACTGTGCATGCACTATTTCACTACATCGCCACCAGCATATACTAATGGAGAGTTGGGAGCAGTTGTCCGAAAAATTATAAGGACTGGAATCGAAAGACGGTGGCATAAAATGTGTTGCCAACATAAAATTTCTAAAAATAATATTATAAAATTATTTTTTTTGTTTAAGAAGTAATACTGTTTCACTTGAATGATAATTATTATATTTTTTTATAATATTAACATAATTAGTTACAAATAAAATAAACATAGGTATCAATTATATGAAATAATTATAAACTGTTGAATACTTATTTTTCAGTACATACTTAAAACTAAAACATGTAATATTTTATACTATTTACATCTAGTATACATAGAAAATTAAAAAAATTATGAAAAACATGTATATTTTACGAAAGGTTTACATACAATTAAATATTAAGCTAGATATTTATAAACATACGTAATACATTACCAGGGCCGTATTTAGGAATTTTACATCACGGGGCAACAATAAAAAACGTTTCATTATACCAAATACAAATTTCTGCGAGTTGAAAAAGATCTTTCTGAAGATCAATTAGTTGCTGGTGTACACAAAAACATTCTAAATGCAATGTCAACATAAGGATAGATTGTTTGTAAATCTTTGGATCTATCGACAGTACTCGACCGTTACCGAGTATGTGTGTATGTGTATCGTGACGCCGTGATTGGCATTATATATATTTTTTTTTGAGATACACTTTTTATTTTGTAAAGAAGTTTCACTTCAAAAATATTAGATCATTAAATATTGAAAATATAAAAAATTAGCCGCCCTCTCATATTCTGCCGCCCGGGCTAACAACATCCTGTGGCTCCTTCCTAAATACGGCCTTGTACATTACATAGATTTATAACATGGATGTTTTTTAGATGGATATTAAGAAGAATTGCGAAAACAGAAAAACTTTATCTTTCTTTAATTACATTGGTTACTAAAATAATACAAGTCAAAGTTTTAACCCAAAAACATATCCATGATTTAATGTTATACATAATTATATTTTACCATAGTTGTTTAAAATTTGGTCCATTTTTATTGAAAATATACAAACAAAAATTTTTTATCATAATGTAACTTTTATTAATATAAATTATATAATTGGATTTGGTAATTTTCGATTTAGTCAGTTGGTACTGCTTTTTCAAATTTCGGCCCTTATCATTTCTTAGGTCCGTATCACTTTTCAGACAAGTGCCAATCACTCACTAATGGAACATACATAATACGACCATACATTTATTTACTAGACCGAATTGTATGTATGAATATATTTTTATAGATGTAATTAAAAGACAATTTTGTACTTGATTATCATTCTTTTATATATATTTTTTTTATTCACTTAACATTATAATAGTTTCTTACATTAAGTTTTTTTTTTATATAATATTTAATACAATTTAACATTAACATGTTTGTATTATCAACAGTTTTCTAATTAAAAATAAAGTAAAAATAATTTGTACACAAATTCATATTGTTATTAAAAGAAAGAACAATAAATAATACAGATAAGTATATATCAGGTTGTAAGTAAATACAACAATAACATAGGGTATCACATAGAACATAATTTAGAGGAAACAAAAAAAAATTATTATAAATGATCATTGGTCTACTCTTAGTAATAGTAATAATTTTAAAATCTACTTCATCTTTTTAAAACATATTCAATGTAACCATAAAATATGAATTAAGTTTATAGAGAATATAACTAAGGCACAATAATAAATTTTTTTTTCTTCGATTAATATCAATGTATACATTGAACAATTAAAATAAAATTAATTAAGTATCCACTGAATTTAATTTAGTTTTCTTTTCTTTCGAACAGTACTATGGGGATAGACAATCAAAACCATTTAAATAATTGAATTTTACAGGCTTTTCAATATAAGTTCTTAGTCTGTACAAAAAAACTAAACCATCTTAGTAAGCTGTTAGGCTCCATGTGCTATTGTACTTGTAAATAATTTTTCATTGTCTGCACAGCACAAATTATAACTTAAGACCATTATTTAACAAAATTATTTGATTGCAACATTTTTATCCATTATAATTCACTCTTTGCTTGTTTATTTGTTTCTGTAGACTTGTTATAATCAGACAGGTTTCTTATTTTTTTTTTTTTTTTTTTTTTTTGTAATACAGACTAAGAATTTATTTTCAAAATTGTTGAGTATTCAAAGAAAATTAATAAAATAAGATAATCAAAAAAAAAAAAAAAAGAAAAAGAAAAAAAGTAAATGGTATTAGTTGTCATACATAGTAAGTTCTCACATTTTTTTTTTAAAATGTATGAAAAAGAAAAACCAAAATAATGATACAAATTAATACTTAACAATATAAAGATAAATAAAAAATAGTCCGCAGTATGAAAATAAAATATTTCTCATTCTATTATGTTAAATGAATTCATAACTATACACGCATCAGCGTATAAAAGCAGCTGGTGGAATATTGGGTTTTAGTTTTGAAAAACACAAAGCAGCTTTAGCGTAGTCCCAATTATTTTCTTCCAAACATCTATAGGGAATTAAATTAATTCAAATAAATAAATTATTTTAAAAAAATCCTAATCGAACCTTTAGAAAAGTCCAATTAGAGATCTTATTTTTCAAATCAAGTAAGTTTAATCATCAAATAAGACTGATTTTCTACAGTAATATTGAGTAAAATTAAAAAAAAAGTCTTACTTTTTGGCCCATTCATCATTCATTCCAGATTCATCTGAAAAACTCTTTATCATGCCCAATTTTGTATCAGGGTTTGAATTGGCATCACTATTTACATTCAAAAGTATTTCTTTTGTCTGTTGATTAGCTGACACAGAAGCAGATCCTGATGATGTAGAATCAAACATAGAAAATGCCATGTTTGACTGTTGTGGATTGGGTTGAAAGTTTGAAACTGATGGTGATGGTACCGCTACAGAATGATTCTGCTGCTGAAAGGATATTTGTTGACTCGGCTGCTGGAAGTTAGAAGTTGGTTGATTAAGCATGGCAGGGGTATGTGAACTACTTTGATAAGTTGGTGGAAGCTGCTGCTGCTGTTGCTGTAGATTCATTGACGAAGGCTGATAAGATGAAAATGTGTTTTGCTGATATGGTGGTGGAGGATAGTTAGGTGTAGGAGATGCCACGTAGGATGATGATGATTCCATGCCAAGCATTTCGTCATTATCTTCCATAAACATGGTTACATTATTGTTACCACTATTATTGGAATCATTCTTTTTTGATGACAAAGGTTTTGATTTAAAAACATAAAACCGTTTTGAAGATTCCTGTAAATCAAAAATTATTTTAAAATTACTTTCTATTGCAATACATTAAAAAACCAAATCACTTACTAATAATAACTCTTCATTGACTACTGTTACAAAAAGCATATCGCTTACTATACTCCAACCACTTCCAACAGGCACTATGCTGAATGTCCTACAAAATGATCGGAAAACCTGCCTTTGATTTGTTTCTTTGAAGTCTTCAGCAAAGACACCATTTAATACAATCTGAACCATTACAGGCTTTGAAAGAAAAATAATTTAAATTATTGGCAAAATTTAAATAAAATCAAAATCTCTGAACTCACATTTGCTAATGGTACATCGACTATAAATGAACCAAGGTCATGTTTGGTTTTGGGTAACTTTTCTAAAAAGTTAACAATATTCTCTCTGCCTTTGTGTAGATGACGATTTCTCCCTGATCTGTGTTTTTCAAATTTCAGAAAGTTTCGGCATTCAGGCATATACTGTGTTAAACTACCTTTAGAACTAAAAATAACAAAAAAATCACAAAAAATCATAATCCAATCATTTTATAATTAAAGGTATTCAACATTCTTATCACACTTACACAGTGGACAGAAAACAAGAGGATAATGAAAATGTAGCGTTTTCATGGTAAGCTTCAGAAACCATTTGTCTGGACACTGTGTTATCATATAGACTGTAATATTGAGTTAAGAATGATTCTACTAAAGTTGTGACTGGATTTATCTGTTCAGGATTATGCCCTTCAGGAATTGGGTAACTATTACCCAGGTTAATTGGCATTTTTAATTTCGTCCCCACAATGGCACTATATCGAGAAGGCAATTCCAAATCATCCTGAAATAAATTTATAATATTGTCCTATATCCTAGAAATTCACTCAAAATAAATATCAAAAGCATTATTAAAGATTTCTTCAATAAAGGTATTTGAACTTAATTTATTTCAAGCAATACAGAATTAGAAACTTAAAACACAAAATAAACACTCCATGAATACTTAAATTTCTTATTTAAGAACTCGAAAAGTAATTCAAATATTTTTTTATTTAAAGAAAGTACATACTATTTAACCTATAAGTAAAGAGAGTGATTCTCAACCAATGTGCACAAATAAGAAATGTTGCTAAAAATAAATTAGAAAAAAATGAAATATTTAATAGAATATTAGTCATAAAATGCTAACACAACATGAGATGGGCCGCGATGTTGGAAATGGGCAAAAATGTGTATGTTAGTCTCTTTAACCTTTTTTTTTTCTTTTGGCTTAGTTTTCAACATTAAAACAAAACAAAATTACAGAATTAAGATTATATTATGGTTGTAATATGTTGCATTATGTTATTAAGGAAATTACTTACATAAGACAGGAATAAAAGAGGAAAATCATAACCAAATTTAAGTTATGAGATTCTAGAGCAGGGAATATCCAAACATTGAAACCAAGGAACACTCTAACCTTAATATAGGAAACAATATTAACTATATTACATACTATTTGGATAAAAATTAAATTAAATACATGCAGCTTGGTAAAAATAAGATAGAAGATTTATGATCATGTACTATAAATATATATAATCCAGATATTGAAGAACTTTAAAATACATTAATTTATTATCCTATTAGTTTTTAGTTAGATAAAAAAAAAATAATGATTGGAAATTAAATATACTGATTGATAATTAATCAAATTATTAGTAATAATGAAATGTGCCACCAGTCTCACACTCAAGTAATCAAAGAATATGTTTTAAAAGGAATAATATTTAAGTTAACTTTTTACAATTCTCTTTTATTTATAATAAAATAATAATAGTAATTGATCAATCTTCAAACACTACAGTTCATAACATGCTAATAAAAAAAAAAAGATAAAATAAACATTTCGTCGCAGCCCAAAAAAAGTATCAATTTTTAATTCATTTAAATTTGATGTCATGAAAAAAATAGGTTGAGAAGCACTAAATTAGGTACAATATAAATTATATCAACATATTGTTTTAGAAACTTGTAACAAATTGTACTATATAATCATTTTTTCACAAAGTCTTTACTAATTTTCCGAATTTTGCAACTTATTCATTCAAACCCATCTAATTATACATGAACAAAAAGTATAATTTCTGATTATAACTCGAAATTTAAACCAGGTAAGATGTACTTACCATAGACACCTTACCTTATTAAACACCAAAAATTATCACAATACTGTTAAGCTAGTACAATAGAAACATCGATCTTGTTGTTCTTTGTACACATTAAGAATGTACAAGCGCAATAAGATAAAACATATGACACTTACCAATTTATTTAGCAAAGGAAATAATTGTTGTACATCCCTGAAACAATAATAAAACATATAAACAGAAATTAAAGATTAATAAAAAATATGCATACCGTCTGTAACGCTCTTTGTCCTCTGTATCACACACTGGATTCCTCGACAAATTGAGCACTTCAATAGTAAAACCCATAAGGCATTTAAGCTCTTTTAGGTCAGAAAACTGAAATAAAAATAATTTTAACAAAATGCAGGTACATTAAAATTAAATTGCTTTATATTTTACTTTGTTGCCTGCCAAATCTAACACTTTTAATTCAGGAAACAATCTACGTATCCATATGAGTCCTTCTCCTAGATACATATGATTATTTTCAAGACTAAGACCATATAAGTCATGTTTAGTATGCTGAGCAACCATATTTAATGCAGCCAAAAGAACTGCTGGTCGATTTAGTGGTACAAACAATTGATTATCAGTAAATACTAAAACAAATAAAAACAATTATTAGGAATTGGGTATTAATAAAACTTTTATTGATTTTATGCAAAATATACTTATACATACATGAACATGCATAAAACCGTGATAAATCTAAACTTTTGGTACTAGGATTGTAACGAATTGCCATTGCTTCAATCATTTTTTCTTTTACTTCATTAGACACAGGTGTAAATGATATTGGTCCACGAGGAGGAAAGTAACACACAACTTTAATAATCAACTAAAAAAAAATAATTGAGTATATAAGCAATAAACTAAAATTGTCTAACATATCACAATTTACTTTTCGATCATCTCTTAGTGTTATCTTATAACTGGTATTTTGCAATGTTTTGGCAATTTTAAAATCGTCAACAAGAAATCTTAATGCATTATCAAAATATTGTTTCTGTAAAATAAAATCATTATTACATTTTACAAATATAAGATAATATAGACATGGCTCACATTATATGGATAAAAAACAATCGGTGCAATATAGGTTTGAATTATTTTCAGGACTTCATCACAATTGTCAACATTTGGTACCTAAAAAATTAAAAATGTTTATATTCAAGAATTCAATTACATTATACAAAATAAGAACTTACAAATACAGAATACCATCCTGTGCTACATTCTTTTAAAGCCCATGATGCATTTCTGAAGTTACCATGACCACCACGGCCATAATTCCTTTCGGGATAAGACCTAGTTATTTTTTTTTTTTATAATTATATTTAATTATTAATCAACAATTATTTTAAAAATAATGAAATACCTTCGACCAGAACTATTTCTGTTAGATTGTCCGTTCTGGCTGGAAAATTCATTGCTATCCAATTGCTCACGAACCAAATCAGTTTTATTTTCCCAGCTTTTACGAAAATGGTTACCACCACGATTATTTGCTTTAAATGTCACTTTTTTATTAAAACCATGGCGATCTGGATAACCACCACCTCCTCGACTAGTGCTTGGTCTAGATGATCGATCATCATGTTCATTACCTAAATTTATAAAAATTATTAAAAATAATTTTACTATGAAAAATAAGTTATTGGCTCTCCAAAAACAGAACCGCAAATAATTAATAACAAGAGTAATTTATAAACAATAATCTCTTTTAATTTTTTTATTATTAGAAATATTCTATGTACAGTGGAACTTTGATAGCTTGAATCGGTCCAGGGAAAAAAAATTTAAGTTATCAAAAATATTTTATTATATAACATAAAGATTTTATTTATTTACTTATACCATGTATAATATATGTATGTATTATGTATGTATGTATGTATGTATGCATGTATTACAATTTTCAAAAGAGTATTCTATAGTAAAATAAATATATAAATAATAATTAAAGTAGGACTATTTTAGGATAAAATTACAAATTTTTGATTGTTTTTAATTTTTAAATATTCTATTGCCTGTAAATCAGCGAGTCTTAACCTTTGTTAAGCTGTCCCTCTTTAGATACAAAATATTTATAAATGTTGCTTAAAAAAAAATAAAAAAAATAGTTTGCTTGAAAATAATATATTAAAGATACATTTGAAAACAATTACATATAAAGCTGGTAAGAATTCATATTATATTGACTCATATTTATTTTATAGATCAATAAATGAAATTATATTATTTGAAAACTATTACAGCAGATAAGTCATGGTGTAAAGCTCAACAAAACATCTATACTTTAGTTTTTTCCTGTTTTTAATTTTAGTATAAATATAACATATATTATACTAAACACCAGCATACCACCGAAAATCAGTTCACCGCCCTTTAAAGGGCGATAAAACTTCCATTAAGTACCAAGGTGTAAACAATGGCACCAAACCCTATATTGAGGTCAGGCTTTGGCCTGACATCTTTTGAAAATTTAGAATGTGTTCGCTTTAAAGGTATTGAGCTAAATTTTGGCTGTCAAACCGTGTGAAAGCTTCATTACAAAATTAAAGCCTAATATCAATCTTTTTTAAGTAAAATAATTACCCCTCCATACACACAATCAGTAAGTCATTGTGGCCAATATTTAAATATTGCGGCCTTATAAAATATTTTTCGCTAGACAAATGTTGAGGATTTTGACGGCACTAACTGTAAATACATTTTGGTTCATTAAAAATTAGTGATATATAGTAAATGTTGGATTTTTTCTAACAATGAACAATAATGATCAATGAATATCTATCAAAGCTATGAAAAATAAGTTTTTTTTGTCGTGCAATGCAGTCAGAACCGATGACACACTTGAACTTATCTAGGTGTACAGAAAACTGTACACCTAGATAATCAAAACATAAAACGATTGCCGAAATCCCGACGACCAACACTTAGCACCAGACCCGTCGGACGGATTAGTATACGCGCAGCAGCGGTGGTACTCACGTGGATTGGTGTAATGGTATCTGTTGTTAAAGTTGCGTCCTCGTGATCTGCCAGCCATAGTCCAAGCGTGTCCACGCTATATCGACGACAGGTGAAAAGCAGCGTGCGCGCGCGCACACGAGCGACCCTGTGACTAAGTCGAACGGGTACGCGTATGGACCGGAGCACGGAGGACGATTGATTTTGGTCGCGTTGCGTTCGGTGTCCCGCGCGAAGGCTGTCGTTACAACGGCGTATCAGATATTCGGAAACGCGCGTCGGACAGCTGCAGCGGGATCCGTTCGAGATTAATCAAGTAGAAGGAAAAGTGAACGGGATCGCAAGATATGGGCCACAACAACTCAGTACGATGCTTACGGGTGACGCTATCAGTTATCACGTCTTATCAAATGACGCATGATCGCGTCCTTCATTGGTCCGCCGCGGCTACACCGTCTGACCTATAGAGTAATTAGTGCTAAAAAATTATCCCCGCCAACTAGTTGACGTTGACATGACGAGGCTTAGGTACGGACAGTAACGGTGCTAGAGTTTGTGGGGCCCTGGGCAAAATTAATTTGAGTCTTATAATTTCTATTAATAAAATATTTCAAGTTCAGTTAAATCAGAACCGCAGGGCCTTATTACAATTTAATGCACGGATCCCTGGGCAACTGCCCCTATTGACCTCCCCTCGCGCCGTCACTGAGTACGGATACAAGTGGGGGGGGGCTATGGGGGCTGAATCCTCCCCCTAAGTTATTAGGTAGAACCATATCGGACGTTGGTACTTAAAATATTTAAAAAATTAGACATAAGACTACATTAGCAATAATCGACTAGTTGTGATGAAAAAATGTCAGTGTTACACAAAGATTATTGCTAAGTTAATACTCTTTATTGTATCAGTGTGACCAACTCAATAATGTAAATTTTGGGCTTGGGTCAGTTCTCCTCATTGATAAGAGATAAAAATGATAAGATAACATTTTATAATAATACACCAACTAGCTTCTGCGTGCCTCGCTCGGGTGAAATTCACTTAATATAAGTAATTATTAATTATTAATTAATAATATTCAAAACATTTTTATGTACAATTTATCATACAATACTACCACGGTTACCACTTGTGATAATTATTACTATTGATAATATACGGATGGAAAACTGATACGCTTTCGGCGTCAAAAGCGTTCGCTATCTAGCAGAGCCCCACCTAATTGTTTTTTTTCTAAAAGCACCACGGTCATAGGCGTGCACAGACCTGTATGTCAAGGGGTGCCTACAATACTTTTGAGCCCTATATTAACAAAACGCGAAGATATAATTAATAAATCATAATGTATAAATAATGAAATAAAAGTAACATTAATTTTATATTGAATATTGTGGTATATTAGTCCCAACGAACATGTTTTAACGTATATTTTTTTGGATAGCTTAAATCATGTTATAATTTTACAATAAATTGAAGCTGTTATATTATCATAAAAAATGTTTTCACGAAAATTTAGGACATTTTGTTTTGTTGTTTCTATTGTGAGACATTGTTTACTTTTAACCAAATTATTTAGAATAAATTACATTTAATTTGAGCCGAATGAGTTAAAATATGGGCCCTTTATAATCTGGAATTTAAAATGTAGGGCCCTGTTTAGAACGTTTCGGGAGGTGCCCGGGCACACCTGGCATCCACGCCTATAATAATAATAGTACCCATAGAACGTTATGTGTCTCCTCAACAATAGTTAAAGGCAGTGCTTGATTTGGCAAAATTAAAGAAGGGGGACTCTGTTTGCTTAAAAAAAATTGCGTCCCCAAAACTTGTTAAGCGTTATAATAATAACGTATTAATAGCAGAGAACGCTAAAATTTCTAAAAATTAGAAAGGGTACTCCGTCCCCCTGCGCCCCCCCCCCCTCAAGTCGAGCACTAGTTAAAGATTAAATATGTGTATTATTTTTATATTAAATAGACGGGCAAAGAATTGAAAAAAAGGTATAAATATGCATATAGATCTTGATATTTCAGTTACAGAATAAAATACATATTTATGATTACAAAAACATTAGAAGTGTCTTCTTCAGTAACCTAACCTATAGCATAACGAAGGAACACATTTATTAAAAGTATGTTAGATCCAACAATTTATAAGTCTCATAAATGCTATATAACTTGACATTTTTTTAGATATGGAATTATCAAAGAAAAAAAAATCATTTAAATACAGTATAGTCGGTTCAACGAAAGAAGACATAACGCATAACGTATTCTTTCAATAATAATTAATGAATATATATAAAAAGTGAGTCTACACAAAAAAAACTATAAAAAACTATGAGGATAGAAGATTGTATAAGAAGATTTTCAAGACCACATTTAACATTTTTTAGAATGAAAAATGCTTGAAAATAAAATAATGAAAGGAGGGGGTATTGATGACTCCTCATAGAAAGAAATAAAATCAGAACAAGAAAAGTGGCGATATGTTTTAAAAATAATATTAGATGTGTTACGTGTTACTTTATTGTGCAAATAATAATCTAGCCTTAAGAGGAAATTCTGAAGAAATAGGTAACCCAGCAGCGGGACATTATTTAAATTTCATTAGCTTAATAAATAAATCTAATGGAGTATTAAGGAAACATATTGAATTCCATAAGAAAGATCTGTATCTTATTTCTCTCATCACATTCAAGATGAATTTATTTCTTTATTAACTAAAAAGGTCAGAGAAAAAATTATAAATCAATTCAAGTTTGCAAAATATTTTACTATTATGTTCGATTGCACACCTGATGTTTCCAAAAGGGAACAAATGAGTCAAGTTATCCGATACGTACATATTTCTAATGGGAAAGTTTGTATAGAAGAAAATTTTTAGGATTTATTTTATCACATGAAAAAACTGGAAAAGTCTTAACAAGTGAAATATTAACTCAGTTATCGGATGATGATTTAAATATAAAAAACTGTAGAGGCTAAGCTTACGATAATGGAGCAAATATGGCATGGAAATATAAAGGTGTGTAAGCAAAATTTATGGAAAAAAATTATTTAGCTACTTTCGTACCATGTACTGCTCATAGTTTAAATTTGGCTGGCGTCAACGATGTATAATCAAATGTTAAAATGAAAACATTTTTTGACAAGATTCAACAATTATTCAATTTTTTTTTCGGGTTCACGTTCTCGTTGGGAAGAATTGAAATCATTGAAACTCATACTTAAACCATTTTCTGATACAAGATGGTCTTCTAAATCTGTAGCTATAAAAGCGGTTTTTACACAACCATCCAAAATAAAAAATGTCCTTAATAATATAATTGAAAAAGATAATGCTGAATCAATATTTTTGATTAAAAATTTATTATTATCCATTGACTATGAATTTATTTGCTTTTTATCTATTTGGAATGCTATCCTTTCAAGCATTGATCGCGTTAATGTTTGTCTACAATCGAAATCATTAACAATAAATAAAGCTGTAAATCTAATAAAAAGATTAATTAGTGAAATCACTGATTTGCGAAATAACAGACTTAAAACTTTATTTCAAAGTGCTGAAAATTTAATTAAAAAAATGGGTATTGCAACTGTTTTTCCTCAAAAAAGAATAAAACGAATAAAACTATTGGATCTTGAAGAATTTACAGACGACTGGAATGTGACTCAAAAAAAAAACTTGTATTATTAATTTAAAAAATATTTATGATATATTAACTATGAATATGAACTGGAGATTTGAAAAGCTTAATCAAGTATTTTCTGACTTTGGATTTTTAAATGGAGCTGACCTCGTTGAAAGAGATTCAAATTATTTAATTAAAGCTGCTGCTGACCTAGCCATAAAATATGATAACGATTTAAAACCTTCAGACTTTACTTTGGAATTAATTAACTTTAAAAACCTAGTATTAGGTATGTTACCTGAACTTAAAAATCAATCTCTATTAAACATTCTAGAGTTAATATACGAGTACTCAATGACTGACTTATTCCCAAATATGTATTTGTATTGCTATTCGTTTGTATCTAATATTGCCCTGTACAACCGCATCGTGTAAAGGAAGTTTTACTAAACTCAAATTAATAAAAACGTATTTACATCCACGATAAACCAAAACCGACTCACTAACTTGTCACTTCTGTCAATCGAAAAAAAGATCTCAAAGACCGTTGATTTTGATTCAGTTATTGATAATTTTTCTGCAATCAAAGCCAAAAAAATAAAGTTTTAAATATTAAGTATAAAATTTTGTAAATTTGGAAAATGTAGAATAATATATTTTAATACATTATAGGTACATTTAATACATAAGTTATAGGTAATCATTATACTATTTCAATTTTCAGAACTTAATTATATTTTTCTTTCATTGTAGTTTTTCCATACCTAAGTAGATACATAATATGTAGACATATAGTAATTATGAAGTTTTGAATGTAACAATAACAAAAATTGAAAATGTATAAATATTGTTTATTTACATAAAGCTTTTTATGTTAAAACTTAAAAGTAAGCAATAAATAATTTAGATTTTTTAATAAATAATTTATAAATGTTATTATTAGGTACCAATATTATTTTTTCTAAACCTGAAACTCAGAAATATTAACCATAGATTTTAGCTTTAAATACACCATTAAGAAGTGCTTCTAAAAATATTACTTGATTAGTTGATTATATAAAAACTATTTATTTTTTTTTTTTTTGATTTTTAAGCTAAAATTGTTCAAATAATTTGTGATAAATAAATTATTGGTCCAGTAGATTACTAACGGCTTTATAAATGATTGGTGCTCACACTACTATGTGAGTGTGCTTAATTTAAAATAATACTAATTCTGGTCATTTCCTTGAAATTTCCTAAAAAGGGCGTATATTTTTAATTTTCCATTTTCCCTGGGTGTTAAAAAGTTAAAATCCGGCCCTGCATGTACGTATAATCTGTACTCTACATAATTTTTTACCTCTTTTAGTATATAATGAACAACAATAACATGTATTGTATTTCAAAACTCCAAAGTAACAGTCTCGCGTGTACAGTACAGGAAAATAAATCACTTTTCTACACACACCATAAGTCATATTTCTCGTGTTCGTATTAAATTTTAATCGAGTGTGTGATGCGCTGCCGGGTGGGTTCGGCTCGATTTACCTACCAACAGTTCGAGACCAACGGTTTTATTTTAACATTAACAACAATAATGTATTAAAATAATGTTATATATCAAATACGATCCTTACATTAATAAAACTTGATAATGGCTTAAATTGAATTTTGATTTATTCATTTAAAATGTACACCAATAACGTTTTACAATTGAAGATTCGTTTAGCAACGCCTACGCATTTATGATCAACGTAACTTAGATCACACATTTGCA